ATCGGAATTATATCGTATCGACCGAAATTAAGAAATATATCGTGATATAAATTTTGGCCATATCGTCCAGCCCTACCTTTAATTATGATTAATAATATTGTTATATATGCACTTATTATCGTATAACACTCATGACAGCACGAACAGACCAAACACATAGATCAGCCTGTCATACCTTTGTCATTATACAAATTTATGTCCTCATTTGTCACAAAAACGCGCACACACACGCGCGCACACACACTCCGTTAATCCCAGGCCTGAATAAAGCCTCGTCCGGTTCTCTCTCTCGCTCTCTCTCTGTATTTCTCTCTGTGTTTCTATCATCGCTCACCGGTTCTCAGACGCGTGTCGTCGGTGAATTCTCCGGTTTTTGCCGTTATTCTCTGAAAGCGCGCGAGCCGCGGAGCGTCTCTAGTAACCCGCAGGATCTCTCACATGAGCGCGCACGTCAGCCTGACGCCACTTCCGCCTTGAGGCACGTCACCGTCGGTGCGCGATCTCATTGGCCAGAGAATGTTGCTACTTTTACAGTTAAATAACATAATTAAACCCGTTTTTGTGTGTGTCAGTCATGAAAATAATGTCACAATGCTGAAAAAATAATAATAAAAATGAATCAATAAATAAACAAATAAAAAATGTTTCACGCAGTCTATGGTTTCACGTCAAAATCACGCATGAGCGTAATTTAATCTTGATAAATATTTTAAAATGGCGTAGTTTATTTATTTATGTATGCGCTAATGTCAATCAAATTTGAGATACTGATACTGATTTTTGATACTGATTTTCTTCCTGTAAGCAGCACCCGGAGACTTTAGTGCGTTAATTAATTATTTAATTAATTTATTAATTAATTATTTTTTTGCTTTGCCATTACTCTAAAAGGATTTTCCAAATATTTTTTATTGAGAACATTGTCAAAGATTTTTTCTTTACTTTAGGAAAATGTTTTGTATGGCTTTATTAAATGGAAAAAGACCGACAACACCATAAAAACTAAATATATTTAAGTTTCTTATTTTGCTAACATAATATTATGTACATAAATGCACAGTTTCGAGGCAGAAACCACTTTTGTGTGTTCTGCTTGCTGATTAACAGCAGTATTTTGGGACTATTTCCAATTCACCTAATAATTAAGTACTAATTAAAAAAAAATAATTTTTTCCTTTTAACATGATTTATTTTCACTAGCTACATACCCCTGTCCTTTTTACATTTATTTAATTTTTTTTTTAACTTCTCGTGTATTGTAACTGCCAGTTTCTTTGATGTTCTCACTTAAAACTTTTTTAAAAATTTCCCAAAAAGTAAAAATGTGGATACATAAAAAAATAAATAAAAAGATATTTTTAAAAAGTATTTTTTTGACCGTAATGTTGCGCCCTCTGGCGGAGTATGTGTGTAACTGCAGGTGGAGAGCTGTCAGCTGTTTGTTTGTCTTCTGCAGCAGCACAATGTGATCCTGTCTGGACCTGATCATGAACTGTAAGTGCAGATCTTCTAAACGAATGCTTTGATGCGGATTTAAACACTTTTATGGCTGTAGAACGCCAACCTGTTCACGCAGGTGTGTTGCGCATCCCACCACTGACCGCTAGAGGCCGCTGTTTACACACCTACTCCAACACCATACGATTACTGCAATGTTTTATTTAATAGGCTGATGGGATGCATACAGAAAATCATGCATATAAAACGTTTAAAGCCAATATAATTCATTCTTTACACTGGTGTTCAAAAGTTTGGAATAATTGAGATGTTTTTGTTGTTGAAAGAATCTCTCCTGCTCACCAAGGCTGCATTTATTTAATCAAAAATAGAGTAAAAATTGTGAAATATTATTTCAATATAAAACAGCTATTTTCTATGTGAATATCTGTTCAACTGTAATTGATTGCTGTGATTTTCAGCATCATTACTCCAGTCTTCAGTGTCACATGATCCTCGATGAAGCCTTGGTGAGCAGAAGAGACATCTTTCAATAACATTAAAAAACGTAATTATTCCAAACATTCTCATGATCCTCATAAGTCCGTGTCATGTGGTTTTTTCCCATAAACATCAGTTCACACCGTGCCATTCAAACGCAGAGTAACAGATGCTGCTACAGTGATGCTGGTCTCCATGGCGACGGGGGAAAAAGTCAAGAAATATCATCATGACATTAGCAACAATTACCTGAAGAACCACAATCAAGTGTTTCCGAGCAATTATAGTGATTAAAGCCAGCCAAATGAATTAAATGTGCTACAATTAGATGTTCCTTTAACACACAGATGCAGAAATAGACATTGAACTGATGTAACATAATATAAATATGTATTGTATCTCAGTAAGAGTTCTTGTTTATAAAGTCACACTGCTTTATTCTGATTGAGTTTGCATTGAAAGCCTTCATATGTGTTCATACCTGCACCAACTACCTAACATCCAAACTTTATTTCTTCTATGTTCGTCTATTTTGTCTATGTCTGTTTGTAATAGAACCATTTATGAGCTAGAAAGAAAGGAAAAATATTATTTTTACACTGTAAAAAAATCCATCTACAGCTGCAGTCGTAAGTATAATCAAATCAGAATCATTTTGACTTATTAAAACATATTAAACTGACTTATATATAATATAAATAGAGTTCAATCTTGTATAACGTAAACAATGAAGTTTAAATTAAGTGAATTAAAGTAATGCAAAAACACATGTTGCCATGACTTAGTGATCATATAATATATTACAATTAATAAACAAGATCATATAAAGACCCTAATTATGCTTTTTGACGTTGACAGCTCTGGCTTCTCCTGTCTGAAGCGACACGAGGGCGAGTAAACGATTGGAGTTTATTAAGGCTTTTTGATTGAAGTTTAATCAGACGTCTGAGAAGATGATCAAACTCTCATCGCACTATTCAATCAAAGTCATCTTTACACAATTTGCCGTTGCATGAATGACGATTAAATCCAAGCAGAGCCCTGGTATTGTTGAAAGAGAATGCAATCAGAGGTTCATCATGCTCAGAAGTTCCCAAAGCTCTGGATGCTTCTGGAGACTGAATTATAATTCTGTGTGTGAGACGCATTTCAGACACAAGCACAACATTAGAAATCAAGTCAAAACCAAATTTCCTTCAGTCTAGAGTCATTGGAGGTGAAGCGAACTAAACAAACCCAGACGATCAGCTGTTGATATCTAATATCTGTTCTCAAATCCGTCGCAGCAGATTTTCAATCAGAGCGTGACCATAAAGGCCATCTTGCTGTCTGATGTCTATGTAGGCATGTATAGAGATCAGATGTATTTCATTCTGATTACCTGTTGCTGAAGCTGAAATATAGCCTATAGCAAGAAATTAATTCAGTATGTGCATATGCTTTAGACTGAATAATAATGCCATCCTTATAGAAAAAACCTCACGTTTGGTGCTGGAACGCTCCCTATGTAGACGGCACACTAGGCTTTGCATTTCATGCTGCTGTCAGGAGCTTCATTTCAATTAAAGTCGTTTCATTTTCAGCAGGGTTGCCAAGTTTGAATTTAATTAGGCTGCTTTTAAACTCTTGCCGTGGGTTGATTTTCTCCCCGCGGGTTAAAGGTTTGACATATTGCATGAATTATATTTGACAGAAATGCATGTAGTGAAGTATTTTATATTCTAGCCGTGATAAAGCTGTGCTGGATGATGAGTTTTGTGAGGGACGGTCAGCGGTGACAAAAAGAATTTAGTATATTTACCAAAAATAATCATTTTAAAAGGATATATACTGTATTTTCTGCGTTTTAAATCATTTAAATAAATAAAAAGGGTTTAGGATATTTACTAAAAACATTTTTTTCAAACTCTTAAGAAAATATGTAGTATATGTTCAATATTTTGTAAGAATTTAAAAATAAAAATTAAGCATATTTACTAAAATAAAGCATTAAGACCTTTAAAATAAACCTTTAATATATTAACTAAATATAATTATTTTAATATATTTAAGAAAATGTATAGCACACTGTTTTTAAAGCATTTTAAAATAAAATTCATTTTGTATATTTACTAAAAATCAACATGTTAAAACAGTATACTTACTAATTTAAGCATTTAAAAAGAAAAAATAATTGTGTATATATACTACAAAATAAATATATTAATAAAAAATTCATTTAAAAATAGTTTACAATATATTACTACAAGGAATAATTTTAAAACATTTAATAGCATATTTACAATTTTTTGTAAACATTTAAAAAGAAAAATGATTTAGAATATTTACTAAAAATTTAAAAAAGACATGGTATGTTTTACTAATAAACATATACCTTAAAAAGATATACAGTCTTAAAAATAAAGATGCTTAAAAGGTTCTTCAAGCGATGCCATAGAAGAACCATTTTGGTTCCACAGAGAAGCATTCAGTCAAAGGTTCTTTAAAGAACCATCCCTTAGCTTTTTATAATCTGAAGAACCTTCTTTCGCCACAAAGCAGCTGTTGTGAAGCAGAAAGGTTCTTCAGATGTTAAAGGTTCTTTATGGAACCATTTAGACAAAAAGGTTCTTCTATGGCATCGTGAAGCAGCTTTATGTATATTTACTAAAATGTAAAATTCCCTAAAAATAAGAACGATACATTTGCAGCAACATTTTAAAACAATAGAATCAAACTATTGTTACATTTTTTTTTTTAAACAAAATGTTGTGTTCTCAGAACCAGGCGTTACGAGTGACGTTTGACTCAACAAACAGCGGTAAAGCGTGTTTTTAGTGACGTGTTTCCTGATGTTTTCCACCAAAATGAGAGACGAGCTTCTGAATGTTTAGCAGCTCGTAGTTTTGAAAAGTTTGGAGGAGCGAGGCGCACCGCTGATCTCAGATCTGTGAGAATGTCTAGTAATTTAATCAGTGACACGATCATCTCTTGAGAAAGCAATTTTGAAAATGACATGCTTGGATCCTCTTGCCTTCGAGACATCTTCATTACTAGCCGTCAGGCAGAAGTCATTACTCAAATCTCGTCTCCTGGCTTTCATTTAAGCGGCGGCTCTATTTACCCTGTTCTTAAATTCACCATTGAAGGCAAACTGGTTTTCTGGCTTCCCGTCTGGCACTTTATACATCCGGAACCAGTCGAGTGTGGCCTGCAGGAATCCGGGCTTCAGTCTGCAGACGTCCTCGATATCTGCGAGAGACAGAAGACGCTGAGATTGACCCTCGTGCTCATCACAAACGCTGAAGCTAAAGCTCTCAGACCGTTGAAGTCTTCAGCCTCGGGGTCCTCCACGTTTATCACGATCACGTTCCAGTCGGTTTCTCCTTCGTCGATCAGAGCCGGAGTCCCCAACACCTTCACACGGAGGACTTCTCCTCGAGAGCAGACCTGATGCAAACACGTGAAGAACACGCTTACAGAACGCTGAAACTCCTGGAGCTCTAAAGGCAAGCATGATTGCTAAAGAAAGATGTTTCAAATCATTCTGATTCAGAATGATTCAAATGAATCGTTCAGATCAAAGTGTGAAGCGGTTTGACCGAATCCGAATCATCAAAAACAACCGATTCAAAAGAATCATTTGCTCACAATTCAGGATTTGACTGCACCTTTTACTCTACAAACGATCAATTTAATATTATATTATATACAATAATTAATATTATATATATAATATAAATATGAAATAAATAATGAAATATAATTAGACAAATATATATATATATACACACATAATTTTATGACATATATACTATAATAATAATCATATGTATAATATAAAATTAATTTAATTTATTTTATGTTGTATATTATCATATGTAATATAAAAGTAGTTATAAAATATGCCTATAAAAATGTACCTATAAAAATGTGTGTGTATATATATAGCATTAGTTTGAAGAGAAAATATTACTATATACTGTACATATACTTTACATATAGTCTTTATACTGCATATGTAAATACACCTATAATAATAATAATAATAAATGAGCAGACCAATAAAAATGGAAGATGTATATTCACTATAGAAATATTTCTAATTTTGACTAATTTCCGTAACTTTTATTTATTTTTGCATGGTTCTGCAGAGAAAAATATGACGTTATATACATAAAATACAGGTTTCTGGAATATTTATTTATTTATTTATAACAATAAATCTTTTTTTTTTTTTCAGATGAGATCCAGAGAAATGGTCCAGAAACCTGTTATGAAGAACAAGAAGTCGGTGCTTCTTGCTTTAAATATCGTCAAAGTCAGTTTTGAGTGAATAAACTTGGAGGACAATAAATACAGACTGTATGCAGACATGCATAAAATCTCCCACTCTGAGCTCGCTCATGCATCAAACACACTTTCCCTGGAGGTTTCCACGCTTCAATTCTGCGTGCTTCACTTCTAAACGTCTGAAAGCACACAAACCTGAGGAATGGCTCCATAGTTCCAGATGTAGCCCGTATGAGGAAAGACATTGCTGATGTAACGCAGATTCCCTTTCTTCACGTCCTGCTTCAGTGGACTGAGAGGCTCTTTAGTCGCGATCTGGAGAAACGAGGGCAATATTTCAGAATTTAAACATTCAATTTTTCAGAATGTTTGGCTTTCTGTCTTCCATGAAATGTAAAGTAGAATGAAAATACAGCTCAGAAATTAAATGCAGTTTTATACAATCAAGCTCCAAAAAGCAGCATAAAATAACTCGTCCCATACAGCAAAAAAAAAAAAAAAAATAAATATATATATATATTCAAGATATGCAATAAATCAGAAAAATATATTTGCTAAAATATGTTTCAAAATATATTAATTTCCTATTTATATTTATATTTTTTCAAGATATGCAATAAATGATAAAAAATATATTTGCTAAAATGTTTCAAAATATATTAATTTCCAATTATACCAATATATTTTAGTTTTTTATGCCATTTTTTATATTTTCGAAAATATATTTTAAATATGTTTTTTTTCTATTTAAAAATATATTTTGCTCCATTTTTCATTTTAAGAAAATACATTCACATATGTCACATTTGAAGAAAAAATATTTTGTTGTCATTGTTGTTGTCATGTGTTGTTGTCAACACATTTGAATATACTTTATTTTATTTAAAAAAATAAAATAAAGTATTTTATTTTTTCAGAGCATTTTCATTTTGGGAAACCTTTACATTTACATCCTTTTACTCCACTACATTTCATAAAAACATCATTCCTATTCCTCGTTATTTCGACCTGAAGAAGTTTAGAGTTTCTCTTAAAATGTTAATGCATTTTTCCCATGGGTTTTTTAATCATTAAAACGATGAACGTTTCACATATAAAATCATATGAAAGTTTAACTTTTTGAAACAAGTTACAAAAAAAATTGAACTTTTCACGATATTCAGATTTTTTGAGATGCACCTGTATATTTGAAAAATGTACTTAATTGCAATAATAAAGTAAAATGACTTAATGACTGTCTAACGCTGTGCAGAACTCATTAAATCAGTTCCTCAGCATGCGTCATTACAGATAATTTGTTCTTTTCCCTTTCATTATTATAATTCCTGGAAATCCTATATTTAGTTAGGGACAATCAGACATGAAAGCATTGAAGGCATCCGTGAGTTTGAACACGATGTAATGGTTAAAGAAGTTCCAGCCTTTCTAGGAATGATTTTCCTTAATGTATTCTAGTGCAGGTGAGATAATTGGCATGTAATGTGAGCGTGTGTGAAGATCCACAGCCAGAGGTTTGCACTGAATGTTGAAGATTTCTTACCTCCATCTTTGCATTTGTCCATCTAGGAACCTCGACGACAGCATGGAAGATGTTCTGAAGGAGAAAACGGATTTGGTCAGATGATCACAACTGCGTTTTACAATCAGAGGATGAAGCAAATTCTATGAAATCCTTCGATCCCTCTAGAAATGGCATGTTAGAGCAACTAATGACCGCATATACAAAGGTGTAGCCTATAGGTTGATTCTGGTGAAATTTTTTAATGGTCATCCAATCTCGTTTTGTAAGTGACTTTTCTTTCTGTTTTAAAGATGTTTTCTTTGGATTGTTTGACTACTCAAAAGAGAATGTGGGAATATATAACTGAATTAATTTGTGTTTACACTATACTATAGTAAAACCATAATTTTGTAAAGGGATTTGTATTTGTTTATTCTTTCTTTCTTTGTTTTTTCTTTGTTTTGTTTTTATAATTGTACTGCCTTAATGGTTTGATGTTTTGTAGCTGCTGTTGTAGAAGATTTAAATCAAGTATAATTAATGTGTATATAGCCATTTAGGTATCATGTTATTTTACTATTATGATCATGTGTTTGCCTGTGTGTATGGAGGCCTGCAGGAGAGTGGAGTGTGTGTAACTGAGTTATTATAGTCATGTGTTTGGCTGTATGAGCTCAAATATGAGCTACTATTAAGAGAAAACATGAGATGATCTTGTGCTGACATGGGATGAACTGAGACCTCTTTGTAGTACTATTCTGCTGACATGAGGAGATATAGACTAGCCATAGTGGCCTGAATGATATGTATTGTTTATAGAAAGATATATTAAGGGTGTGCAGACCCAGAGTCTGTCGGCTTCATTATTGTCTCTGATAATAAAGTCTGTCTTCTGGCATCAAACCCTCAAGACTCCGAGAGTGGTTTCTCACAGAAGCCACCACACTGTTTAATAAAAAAAGAAAAATTTAATAAAAATCCTATGAGCCTTGCGAGGCCAACGTGCTCCGAAGTCCCGATCTGAATCAAAAGATTCACCAATCCACTCCAAAGTTCCGATCTGAATCAAAAGATTCACCAATCCACTCCAAAGTTCCGATCTGAATCAAAATATATATGAATGATGATTCACAAACATCGGGACTTCGGAGCGCGGATCATGAATCACTCAATCCGTGAAATTATTCGTGAACCCGCTTCAAAGTTCCGATCTGAATCAACAGATTCAAATAAAAAAAGAAAAATTTAATAAAAATCCTATGAGCCTTGCGAGGCCAACGTGCTCCGAAGTCCCGATCTGAATCAAAAGATTCACCAATCCACTCCAAAGTTCCGATCTGAATCAAAATATATATGAATGATGATTCACAAACATCGGTACTTCGGAGCGCGGATCATGAATCACTCAATCCGTGAAATTATTCGTGAACCCGCTCCAAAGTTCCAATCTGAATCAACAGATTCACGAACCGGCTCCAAAGTTCCGATCTGAATCAACAGATTCACGAACCTGCTCCAAAGTTCCGATCTGAATCAACAGATTCACGAACCTGCTCCAAAGTTCTGATCTAAATCAAATTATGCGGATGTGCGAACCCGCTCCGAAGTTCCGATCTGAATAAAAAGATTTGCGATATGCACTCCGTAGCGCCGATCTGAATAATGATTCAAGAACCATCATTTCAGGTCTGGACTTCGGAGCACGGATTGTGAATCACTCAATCCATGAAATGATTCGTGAACCCGCTCCAAAGTTCCGATCTGAATCAAATGATTTGCGATACACAATCCAATTGGAGCGCTCCGAAACAGTGAATCATTTTGCCACGCAATGGCTTATCTGATTCGGAGTTCAGTTCAGTGACACTTCAATAGGAAATAAATTGAAAGCATCCAGTAATCTCATACCACTGAAGTGAACATCCAATTTATCAGTATATATTGTAATAAATATTTAAGAAATTATTGTTCTATCTTATTGTATTAGTCTATACAGAGTGATAGTCAAAAAGAGCAAATGGGAGAAGCAGATGAACACAAACATAAATATGTTCTTATACTCCGCACATGAATATGTGCATGCATGCAATTAAATTTGCATAAAGTTACAGTTTTTTTCAACTGCTTACACACTAAATCTTTCCTTGTCACACAGTTTCTGAAAACTGACACTCAAACAGCAGAAGCACACACCAAATCTGCAAAACCATACACTAATTCTCAAGCCTTGACTTTCATAAAACACTTTTTGCAAAACACAACACACAGTTCTCGATGTAACACACAAATCTAACAGGAATTAATATTACGGCAAAAGTGTTTGCAAATGTTTGCTTTTGAGACGTGTTTGTGATATTTTGAACGCAGTGCTTCATTTTGCAAGAGATGTGAGGCATTTTGCATTTTGTGTGCAATTCTTGGATTTGTGTGTGAAGTTTTGAAAAAAAAAAAGGCAAACTTTTGAAAATGTGTGAAAGCAGTTGAAAAAAACTGTCAAGACAGTGAACACTATATCATGATGCATAACTACTTTGCACTTGATATATTTAATTTGGGGATGAAAAAATATCTAATTCAGATTTTTATCATTATTGTAAAATGAAATAGGCTTTGTTTTTTTAAAGTAGAGTAAAGTGTTTTAAAGTGTGTAATATGATCTGGCATTATCTTGGCATGAATGCATATGTGTTTTAAATGATTATTTTCATGCACGCCTTGAAACTGTTGTTACTGTTTTGCAGATGTGCTTGAGAGACTTTTTGCGGTAAGTATATTCATCACTGGCTGCTGAAGCTTCTTCATATACATTAGTACTATAGTACTACAAATGTACTAATGATGTGCAAAATATTTTTCTCAGTCCTTTACACGATCACGTTTCTACACAGTTTTGTTGGATGAAGGAGGTCACACACGTTCCTCTGTTTTTCTTTCTGTGTGCAGTGTCTGAGTTCATGGTCCTGCATGATAATTCTGCTCTGTGTTGTGTTTATACTGATCAAACCCCCCGTGATCTTGAATAGAGGAATCTATTCCCATAATTCATCTGACATATTAATGTCATTATGAACTCCAGGACGATTATCGTGAGAGAATGCATCTAATTAGATTTAATTCACACATATACCTCAGGGAGAGAAACACACACAATACAAATATATACACACACACACACACACACACACACACACACACACACACACACACACACACACACACACACAC